GCCCAACTCCGGCAGGCGACATGGGAGACTGGGGGCAAGCGCTACAAGTTGCTCCAAATGGAGGCCGATCCTCAGCTATGGCAAGTTTGTCCAATAGCACCTGATGGTACCGTGGGTGTAGCAGAAGCGCATGTGCTGGTGTACGTGGATGACATGCTAATGGTGGGCTGCGAAGTGGCGGCTAAAGGGTTCGCAAAATGGATCGGCAAAAAGTGGGAATGCCCGGCGCCCGATTGGTTGGGCGAAGGCCACGACTCCGTCCGGTTCCTTGGCATGGAGATTGCTATGGGACCGCAGAACGAGTTCATGGTGAGCCAAAAGGCATACATTGACGAGCTACTCCGAGGTCACGATTACAAGGGCTCACCTTCTCCAGCTATGGCTTCTCGCGAGGCCCTACTACTGACGGAGGCTGAGGAGGCGGAGCTTCTGGATGCACCGGAAGTGGTTTCAGAAGACACGGCGTGTGTACGAGAAGCCCAGCGAAGAGTGGGCGAGCTGCTTTGGTTGGCAGGCAGAACCAGGCCTGACCTGGCCTACCCGGTGGCCCTGCTGTCTGCAAAGCTACTGCGGAGTCCCAGGGCGGTGTGTACCACGGCCCATCGAATCCTCGGCTACTTGATGAAGACGAAGGATGAAGTGTTGGTCTTCGACGGCGGCTTTCCCCAGAATCAGCCCAACGAGCTGGTGGTCTACACGGACTCGAGTTTTTCCCCCAGTGGAGGCCGGTCCCACGGTGCAGCCGTGGTATGCTATCGGGGTACGCCGATTATGTGGCGGTCTTCGAGACAGCAGCTGACAACGCTGTCTACCACGGAATCAGAACTTATCGAAGCCTTGGAAGGCTGTATGCTAGCTACATCCATCGCCGACATCGTCACCGACATCAATGGCGAGCCGCCACGACTGGTTCTGAAGGTGGACAACTACTCGGCGGTGCAACTGCTGGCAGGATCGACAGGATCCTGGAGAACTCGTCACTTACGAGTTCGTTCGGCCTGGCTGAAGGAACGCATTCGTTC